CTGTCAAGTGATCTCAGGAGCTTCTTCATGATCTCATGATTGGTGATCTCAGTGGCGCCAAGAGCATGAAGCTCATTGGTGATATCAGTCGGGCGGTCGAACATGAGCTGACACCTTCACCGACTTTGGGAACGTCTGTCTTGACGACATGCCAGAGATTGACATCAATGGCTTCAAGATGCATGCACATCTTATTCTTCCTGTAGGGGTAATAAGTGCCATCGAAGACGAGGCACGCAGCGGAGACCTTGATTATCCCTAAAGTTGACATAGCTAAAATTCCAGGTGGTTAAACCGAATCACACAGAACAAGGGAGTACCTTACTCTGATACCAATTGAAAGTGCTAGTTATCGACTAGAGGGGGGTGAATAGGCGTTTTTTATGAAAGTCTTCAAAACACGATGGTTTTGAAGACAAACAAGTAAACTGAACCTATATAGTAAGCAGTGGAATGAAAACTACACTAGGCAAGCATTAGTCAAGCATACGATACGGTGGAAGCATGAAGACTAATTGCAGCTAGGTAGACAGGATCAGGATGGAAGATAGTATGAAACCAAACAGATATAAACCTTCACACAGTGAAGTCAAATGAATCAGGCAGGCAAGCAATGACTTCACGAAGACAAACTGAAGAGTAATGAGAGTAGGGGATAGAACCAGATGCTTGGTGAAGACAAGGATATGGTAGACCAGTTCCAGTTGCTGTGACAACTGTATGTCTGGTTAGGGAGGCTGAGATTGAACTCAGAAGACCGTGTCTTCACCTTATTCCCCTTGAGCTAAGGACACCCAGTCTCTCTCAATCACTCTGGCAAGTCTTTAAGGTAGACTTCCAAACCTTCACAGACTTCGTTCACCGGCAATCCACAATGACTCTTGGATGCTCAGAATGCGACGCCTAACCGGCAGGAGGATTCACAGTCCTCAAGTGTAACAAGTCCTCAGATCACGCGGACAGAAAGACTTCAGTGATGCTTAACACTCTTTGGATCTAGGTGTTTTGGGCTTAGTCCTCGCAAGGATCTCTCTCTCTCAAATGCTTCGGAGGTGGGTTGCTCTCAAACGACAAAAGTCGTGCACTAACTTTGAGCAGCCACCAATTTATGGTGTAGGGGGTAGGCTATTTATAGCCAAGTGGCAACCCGACGTGATATGTCTGAAATGACCCTAGGTCACTAAGGAACCGACACGTGGCCAATGGTCGGATTTCAAACACACGCGGCAGCTTGGCTTGGGCTACAAGCAAAGCTGACTCATCTAGCTCTGGATAAGGTTTGCTCTCATTGTCTTCGCTCGAAGACATAGGATTTGGTTGGACATCACATCAGTCACTCTGACTTTGTTCACTTGAACCTCACTTAACACTACGGTGGTTCCTATGACTCACTAAAGAAGAAAGGAAACTATGAAACAGTTATGTCTTCGCACTCCATAGTCTTTAGGTGAATATCTTCACACGTCATAATCTTCATCGTGAATGTCTTCACGAACCACCATTGACTTCAATGTCTTCACACTTTTTAGGGGTCATCTATGGTAGGTAAACCGAATCAATGAGGGACTACTACCTATGTTATCCCGCAATTCTCACAAACACATTAGTCCCTCAACCACGTTTGTCGTCAATACTCCAAAACCAACTAGGGGTGGCACTAGATGCACTTACAAGAAGAATTCTAAATAAATTGAAAACCAAACTAAAAACAAAAGGAAAGAATAAATACCAAGAAAAATGGGCGGAAAAACAAATCGAAAACGTGACTCAAACTAACCTACTGCATAAAAATTGAATCCCTACAAACCGGGACATAAACCTCCTCACATGGATCCCGTGTGCTCTTGGGTCAGCCCACACTAGAACACCAAAACGGCTAGCACGCACTATCGCTTGCAGTAAGAGGAACTCTAGCAGAGTCGTCATATTCAGCCAATATGGCGACTCCACTTAGAGTTGCTCTAAGCTATACATAGTGTTTGAGGGTGAGCACAATCGTGTGAGGCGGAAGGGTAACTTCAACGCGGATCATAAAATCTGTGGACACGTCCGTACGTTTCCGCCAACAAAAATAGGGGCGGGGGCCTTCTAATCGCAGACACTAAATATTCGCCTGTTTTATAAAAAAAATCAAAATAAATAAAGCAAATGACCGCCTCCGGTCACTTTGGCAAATGTAGCTACAGCAATAGCAATTCAAACATATATTTAAATCCGAAAGCACTCCTCAAAAAAGTTCAACAATCCAAAAGATGTTCAACAAGTTTTTAAAATTTCGTCGATCCTAAAAGCGTCCTTCGTCTCGAGCTTCTTCTCCTCGAGTTTGATGAACTTCTTCATCGGCACTGGTTGATCCCGTTTCTATGTATATTGAGCTTCATCCAACAATGCATCATTGTGAAGGCTTGCAGTCCGTCCTTTGGTACAACGTGCACACACGTCCGGACTAGACAATGAAGTGATCAACAAGTTACAACATTGAGCAAATCAATGAAATGACCAACCCCCAGAGCAACAAGAAGCAAAACTTACGTGCTCTTCGAGTGACGTGCCCCTTGGCCACCTTGTCCGCACTTGTGCATACGCATCGCAACTTGTTGGCAACATTTTGAATGGTGTACCATCGAGGAAGTAGTGATTTCACACAGCAATCATGCATCACTTCCATGTTGTAAGGCGCGTAGTACTTGTGCTCATTGAACCAAACACACACTTTGCCAAAATGCCGCATTATGCTCCATGCCTTGAAACTCCACACTTTAGGCCAACCACGCATCGCACAACAGTTCATCATCCTTCACAGAGTACGCAACCATCATGTTTCCTTCAAAGTCAACAACGACAAACATCAAAATATTCTGCCATGGTATTTGTCCGAACACTTACTGGGCATGGCTTCTGCTAGGGACGGTGGTGGCAGGGGCGGATGGTACCTGGGTGCCAGCGGGGTCAGGGGTGGAACATCGGTGTAGGCCAAGGCGAGAAGGCGTCTGGCTAGAGTGTCGTAGGTCTGGTGAGGCCTGGGCTGCAGCCGGGGTGGTTCGGCGACGGCGTAGCTCTCCGAGGGTGCGGATACAAAGCACAGAGGAGGGCGGAGTGGAGGAAAAAGAAATTCGGGTGGGAGGTTTAAGTGCACCGGGCGTGTCTGAGTCCGACGTGGCAAAGGTCCGTTTTGTTGGATCTCAGGCATCCGGAGTAGTCTGGACATTATCTATGACCGCAGTTTATTGAAAAGAAAATGTTCGGACCGGATGGTCTGGACATTTGCGGGCGGTTTGGTGACCCGCGCTGGTGTTGCCCTAACCCTCTCTGCGACTCTACCTACAATTAGTCAATTCCTCCTTAAAAGTCTCAACGGTCACTGTAATTAGAAGGGGCAAGCAAAGCTTTTCGTCTCACACATTTTTTTTTGCGGGAATTTCGTCTCACACATTGGTCTTGGTCTAAGCATCACTTCTCACATGTTTGTCACGGTAGAGTTCCACATTGGAGGCTACATTTCGTCCATAACAAAAGAAGCTGCACACACTCAAAGCAAACCAACAAACGGGTCCTGGAGCCTTGTTTACTTTCACATCGTATATTCAGGGTGTGCAGAACCGAATATATAGTGGCGCCCCTGCATCCACACTCACTTGGTCAGTCACTTCGAAACATCATCACTATGCATGCACTTCAGAGAGCCATCAGCCATGTACAAGTACAACGATTGCACATCACCAACAGCGTATCTGTCTCAGTAGGCTACCTGGTAGTACTTGATCATCATCAATCAACCAATTAATCCAGATTAATTTGAAGAGTTGTTGCAGCACGCAAGTAAGTTTGCATGTACTGATTGAAATGTGTTCGCGAGATCATTCATTCAGCAATTGATGCCCCCAACAATCTCTCACGAGGCGGTATCTGTACTGAACTGAAGACATTTGCAGAAATAAGCAGCACAGACTTTACCCTGTTCATATTACAACTCCGAATCCTAACTTGTAACCTGACCTGAACATATATTCAATACAATTAGAACAGAATGGAGATTTTTTTTAAGCAACTCGCGGGTTGAAAGGTAGCTAGGCTGCAATTTGTACACGCACAACTGAATTGAGCTGAACATGAATTCTTCGTTCCCTCGGATTCTTCAATTCAGAAAGTGTCATCCGGCAGAACATTGGCATCTGATGAACAAGGAGTTGAATTGAAGTAAATTAAGAGTCTGGAAGACCTTTCATCAGATGGCACTGTAGCTTCGTGTCAGCATTCTGTTGAACAACAACAGGCTGGGGATACGAAGCATTCTTGAGACAGAACCGTTTCTTCCACTAGTGCAGCGGTTACTTGGACACAAGTCTGTTGCGGTCACTATCACTGATAAGCAAAAACAAAAGTTCCAGTTTCAGTTTCTTTGTGGCAAGGGGAAATAATTTCAATAGCATGCAGTTGGAGTATTACATGCTACAAATGGAAACATATCCAAAGATAGAAATAAGGATGCGTTCCACTACTTCAGCAGTGCGGTTGCTGTGTCAATAAAATGCAGCTCAAAGGACAAGCAAAGCAGACGCCTATTCTCTTTTTCTAATTCCCAGTCTTCCCATACTTATCTAGTGAGTCTGTGAGCCACTGCAATTCCTTAACTTACACCAGGTTTTGCCATGTGTTGCGTACTAGATATGGATATGTTTTGTATGGTTTGTCTGTTCACCATATATATTTTCGTGCTCTACAGAGGGCTTCTTTTTGGACGTACAGTTTCCACTCTGAAACTAATGGAGAACAGATTATCACGATTCAAAAAAAAGAAATGAAACAAGAAAAAAACTAACAGGCTTTGACTGGAGTGTACATTGTTCATCCATTCAAGTAAAACGGACTTCACATCAGCCTCATATTTATTAAGGCAGGCATAGATATGATGCCCATAGCACTTCACTACTTCTACGCACCAACCCTTATTCATAGCAAAAAGAGGACAACATATTTTTCTCTTGAGATTGTTAATTACCTTAGTTTGGTGAAGGCCTTTTGTGTTTCTTCTTGCCACTGATGAAAAGCGAATCTCCTGCCATTGGTTCGCAGTCAGGTCAGATATCAGTATGTTCCATCAGTACAGAGCAGTAAATTAAGAGGATGAGGGTGGCAGAGTGAAGGTACCTATTTGCGCATAAGGGATGTGAGCAATCTTGTTCCATTCTGGGCTTCCATGTTTCGTAATCTTCTTTTTCAGGTCTGGATGGCATCCTGGAAGACTGAGGCTCTTCAAGGAGGAGGGCAGATATGGAAGTGACTGGAGTTGCCCAGCACCAATTAGGTACAATTCCTGGAGAGAGCAGAGGTCTTGCATTCTGGGTGGGAGCGATCTCAAGGAATCTGCTTTGGGTATAGTCAGCAGTCGGAGGGATGAACGGTTCTGTAGCAGCCATCGTTCAGGTAAGCTATCCATCTCTGACACAGTCTTAATACACAAATATTCGGTGCGGCAGAGACTCTTAAGTGGCTCAAGATGCAGCAGGGACGGCAGACAAATGTCAAGATTTGTTATCTCCAGTGAGCTACCGGGCTCCACCAGATGCTCGTCTTCGCCACCAGAACCAGATGCAACTCGAGTTAGCGAGGACCCAGCCTCCGCGAGTTTACCGCACCCTCTAATTACTAAGAAATAGAGGGTTGGAAGTGATCCGAGCCCTCCCAAGGACGAGAGATTCTCGCATTCCATTATGTGCATGATCTGCAAAGACCTGAGACTCTTGAATACATCCCCGGAGGGGAGGGACACCAGGCTCGAGCAGTTTTCCAGCATAAGTGCAGATAAGTTGGTGAGCAGGTGGAGTGACTCAAGTAGTGGAAGTTCCAGGTCACCACACTGGCCAATAGTAAGGCTTATTAGTGATGATGGCACAAGCTTATCTTTGCCATCTCTCATCGTCCTCAACTTTGGACATGCCGTTATTATGAGCATCTTAAGCTCTTTAATTTCTTCAAATGGTATGGGGGCGGATTGCAGATCCTGACAATCATTAATTCTTAGGGCATGGAGAGTTCCCATGTGCAATTTTTGCTCCAAAAGGCTCCCTTCCAGCGAAGTTAAGCATGGACAGTTGGTGATAATTATATCAGTCAACTTAGATGATTTTGGCTCGATGCTTCCACTCGGTATCTTTCCAATAATAGGAAGTTTGGTCAGACAAACATCTCCTATATTCAGTGACACTAGGCTTGGAGGTAGAATAGGTAACTCCCTCAGTTCTCGGCATTCATTTACTTCCAAACTATGAAGTCTTTGAGGTAACAGCAACTCCGTGCAGCTACTACCAGACATATCAGATGATCGACCAATCTGACGTAGCTTACGAAGGTCCTTCAACATTAGAAACTTCAAAAATACCAAATCGCCAAGAGAGGGAAGATATTCCCAATTAATGCAACTTATCAACCTGAGAGATACCAGATTTTTTACAGAGCTGTCCTCTATCCAAGATGGAATTTTGGGACCTGGGTAACCTTGAATTTTCAATACCTTGATATTAACATGTGGCTCAAGGTGGTCAAGAACTAACTCATCTGTCATGATTTGATCAGGTGTCGACCACTCCATGAATAGTGAGTTGAGATGTTGTTTTTCCTTCAACTTGGCACTCTTAGCTTCTTCACAATTCTTAACATTCTCAAGACCCTGCAGACCTAATTCACGAAGATCTCTTAAGCTCCCAATTGCACTTATTTTGTTGCATGTTCTTTCTTCTACCATATAATTATGTAATTCCTGAAGAGAAGTGAGCCTGCTTACAGGAAAATTACCAAATCCATGCACACCACCATAGGATACACACCGCAGGCATTCAAGGTTCCCTAAATATCTTGCTTCATGTATTTTGGTCCCAAAAAAACCATGGTAAAGGAACATCAAGTGATAAAGTTTTGCGACCCCACATATCTTGTCTTGTGCTATCGAACTCATGAAGATATAGCGAAGATGTTTTAAGTTACCAAACTTGATTGCAAAACAGGATTGGTTTCGTAATTCTGCATATAATAGTCGCAGTGATTTTGAGGTCTCAACTATCATTTGAAGTGCGCAAACAGTAGCATTTTCAACTAGCGGGATATCACGAATGATAATAGTGCGTAGATTCTTAAAATGGGAGATTTTCTTGACCTCATCAGCAGAGAAACTGTGAATATTGACAATGCATAGGTGTCGGACTGTATACTTCTCATCTTGAAGTTGAACAGGATCACATATTCTTGCACATTCACCGGTGGACACATTGCTTGCTAATTCATGCATCAAGTCATGCATTACATAACTTTCTTTTTCTTCCCATCCAAAAGTTATAGGTTTCATATCAAAGAACGACTTTCTAGTTAGCTGAGCCAAGAATTGTTCTGCGGTATCCTCCAAAGATTGAATGCCACTTGCAATTAATCCAGAACCAATCCACATTTGCACCAATTGTTTCTTTCCAAATCTATAGTCCTGCGGAAATATGCAACAATACCGAAAACAAATCTGTAGCTCTGTTGGTAAGTGGTAGTAGCTCAATCTGAGAACATTCATAATATCTTTTTCGGTTCCTTTAAAATGTTCCAATCCTTGATGCAAGAATCTTCTCCAGTATTCAGGTGTCATATTGCTTTGCAGATGCTCAGCGACAACCTTCGTTACCAAGGGACATCCTCTCAGTTTCTTTGCAATTTGTTCTCCAATTAACTCCAAATATGAATCTCTTGGATTCAAACCGGAAAAGGCATGATGATTGAAGAGCTTGAGATTTTTATCATCTTCCAGTCCTTGTAATGTCAAGAACTTATCCCTTTCGACCCCCATCACCTTTGCAGCCATGTCTGCTACAGATTGCATTCGGGTTATCAACAGAATTTTGCTCCCAGTAGTGTTCAGTTCCTTCAGAGGAGCAAATAACTTCTCCCATTCATCTCTCTTCTTATCTTCCCAAACGTCATCTAGAACTAACAAAAAATTAATGAATGCGAGTTTCTCTTTGAGGTCCCGTTGTAGTGGTTCCAAATGATCGCTGCTCGGTTTCACGCGCGTAGCGTCTTCCAGTATTTTACTTGTCACCGATGTCGCATCAAAGCTAGTAGATATGGTGGTCCAGATGACCTTAAAATGCTTTAGTACCTCATCTTGATTGCATATGCTCTGAGCCAAGGTAGTCTTCCCCATGCCACCATGACCAATAACTGAAATAATTGGAATACTATTGGTCCTTCTGACCCTAGTTTCTCCCAATTCATCTGACGTGTTGGTTAGCCATCCAATAATCTGTTCTTTCTCCTTTTCTCGTCCAATAAAAATGGTTGCACTTAATATTGAACTAGTCTGGCGATCATTGTCCATGAGCTTCTGAACTTTCTGCTGACTGCTGGTAGAAGAACCTCCACTGAGATGGTCTGTGAGCTTGAGGAAATCACTAACACCTATGGCAGCCTTGTCTAAATCATCCACAGATTTCATCAATCTCTTCAGAGTATCACGGTGACTAATTTTCTTGATAGTCTTGTTGACAGCAGGGCCAAGAGACCTGACAAACTTGTGCTTCATCTTAACAAGAGGAGAACCCCATTCACTAACCTTTTGGTCCTTGGCCTTCTCCTCGAGCTCGTAGTATTCAAGCTCATCGATGGCGTCCTCCGCCGCCTCGACCGCGTCCCTGAGCTGCCAGAGCCACGCGTCAAGGCCGCTGCTCTGCTCCCTGACAAGTTCTGGGTTGACGACATCAAACACCGCCTGGATATGTGGCATGGCCCGCAGGAGCCGATTCTTCAACTCATCCATGCTTTCGGACTTGCAGTACTCATCGATGTAGCTGAAAGCCTTGTTGACCAAGAAGGATATGGCCGAAGTCGCCACAGATTTCCCTGCAAAAACGAGTGCAGAGGCAGCCATGTTCTTTCTGGGTGTGTGTTCGTGTAAGAGGAGGGCCAGCAATTAGCAAAGGATAACTTCTGCTAGCGCTGGGGCTGCATTAGTGTGGAGAGGGAGAAATCGCTGAAGCAACTGTTCAATTGCCATACAACCGGTCATAGCCATGGGCCAAGTCGTTGCTAACAAATATCAAGGAAACTTCAAAGAAATTTCCATGGCCACCATTGAGCCAGACTGGGTGGACTGTAATGCACCAGCAATACCGCGAAAATGGGCCTTTCTTCCAAATTTAAGGCAGAAAATGACCCTTTCTTCCAAATTTAAGGAAGAAAATGACCTGGCGCTAGCAAAACTGGAGTTGAAGTTCTGAAGCTCAGCGCTGCACTATATGGTGCTGCTGAACTGTTAACCCTGGCTCGGCTGATCTAGGTTGCCTAACACAACTACTCCATGGGTCATCTCTGATGGGGCACGGAAAAATGCTGAATTTGTAGCCACGTCCCATGCACAGAGCGTGATATACGTACAAGCAGTTGCACACGGAAGATTCAAGTCATCGTTATATTCACAACCCAGTTGACACGCATCAACAAAGACCATATCACTAATACAACTGCCAATATAACATGGAACTACAACATCTAAACTTCAGAGATTTCCACGCACCTCATTGTCTAGCTATGCAACTCTTCTCGCTTTCTAGGTAACATCGTCACCAACTGGTGCTCTTTGTTCCAAGTGTACCGTTCACATATTTCTTGCGCCATTGTGACATGATTAGCTAGCCTTCTCTAAACTTGCTTATCATATTTTATTACTCTGTCCGGCCTGAAGTAGTAGTAAGGTCCACATTTGGCCTCGATCATTTGTGTGCTCGTGCACCCTCATAACTCGAACAACATACCCCAAATATGAGGGGGGCCACACCATATGTTGTGTGGCCCCCCTCATATTGCAGAGTCATGGGACAAATCTTGCAGAGTCACGAAGATCCGACCCAGCACAGCCGGAGCATCATGACCGTCATAGATGCCTTCTCTACTAGTCCATCTGAGTTCTGACACAATGGATGCCTTCTCTACTAGTCCTTACATCGAAATGGTTTGTGTGGAGATCTTTCCAGAAAAGACGAGTTCTACGTGCCTCCGCCATCATTGCCGCTTGGCGAGCTCCGGCGCCTCCTCTGCTAAGAGCACACAACACATCAACTTGTGATAGTCTGAGCTTAATGTACTTGGGTGTTGAGAGCAGCCTCACTGGAAAATGGGTTCAATGATTTTTGATTAGGGATTTTTTTTCTTGCTGCTCAGTTTTGCTTCTCAGGGAAATCTTGGTTGAGCACAGGAGGTCCTATTTGACGTGCTGCGCGCTGGGAGGAGGCGCAATGTGCACCCCCGCTCACCCTCTTTTAGGCCGGACCATGTGAGGGGTGCTCTGTTTTTATCATTTCATTTTTTTCCATTTTCTTTTTTCTTTCCTGTTTTCATTTTTTCTATTTTAAATAGTTAAGGATTTCAAAAAGTTCCAAAATTTTAAAAATTTGTGAATATTAATTTTTTTCAAGAAATAATAAAATGTTCGCATATTCAAAAAATATTCAGGGTTTTGAAAACAAATTTTCGGGAAATAAAAAAATATTCATGATTTTGAAAAAATGTTTGTGTATTCAAAAAAATCACAAAAGTAAAATATATTCATGAATTACACGGAAAGTTCATTGTTTCAAAAAATGTTTGTGAATTTCAGGAAATTGTTCCCCAATTTCCAAAAAATGTTCATCGACTCAAAAAATGTTCGCTGATTCAAAGGAAAGTGTTCACGGGTTTCAAAACAAATGTTCACAATTTCAAAAAATGTTCATGATTTTTAAATATTCACGAATTTGTAAAATATTCACAATTTTAAAAAATGTTTGCGGATTTGAAAATGTTCACGGTTTCAAAAAATGAAAAATAAAAGAAAATAACAAATAAAACAAAAGGCAAACGTGAGAAAAAAGGAAAATAAAAAATGACAAAATAAAGAGAAGAACGAAAATGAAAAAACCGAAGGAAAAAAGACACACAAAAAGAAAAACCAGTTTGGAAAGTTTCTAGAACCTTCCCAAAACGGGAAAGAGCTAATGGGCCGGCCCAAACATATGTA